ATGATGTCGATGCCCCCAGCTATCCCCTGGCCTCGCCTTATAAAGGAGGACGAGGCCTATGATTACAAGAATACTAAACCGACCTAGGGTTCTCTTCGGTAGAAGAGTCCTTTGCTTGCGCGCCTAGACAGCAGACTTTGCTTGGGAGGCTTCCTACATTGGTCGGAGGCCCGTAGAATCCTCATGGCCCGCTAGCCCAGCGGCCGGCTTGCCTCCCGACGGACCACCCCTACCGGTATAGCACACCGTCATGTAACTTTCCTTGGGAGGTGCATGTTTTCCCTTTGTAATTCTCTTGTTAGTTGCAGTACCAGCAACAAAACTTTATGTTTCAGTTTACAACAGCTTTGTCATAGCCAATTGAAAGGACATACAGTTAGTTGGGTCACCATGACTTGCCTGTAATTTCATGGGCCAGAAATTTCCTGATTGTCAGATGTAGCTCCAAGTGTCTAGATTCTCCCGTAGGCTGCACTTGAGCAAGCAACTCAGAAAAGCCAAAAAAATAGGCCTTCATAGGTCCAATTTTGCCACAAAAGACTCCTAGTCCACCTTGTGATTTTGCTTTGCAAACTTTGGTTCATGCAATGAGAGATGGTCCTTTATCCCCCCTGGCATGCTTTCTCCATAAACAACCGGTGATGAATTTATTAATCTGATCAATGGCATCTGCTGGTTTACATGTAGAATGCTGGCATGGAAGAGAAAACTAAGCTAACTAGCTGCAACTTTGCCCCCACAGGATACAAGTGTGGAGCAACCAGTGAGTCTTCTCTCATTTCTTTGCACCAAAGGCAGGAAATCTGCCATTTTGTCACTAACACGGCGAGCTTAATAGAGGAACACACATAGTAAAATCTACTAACTCTCTATCACATCCTTTTGTATGCATTACAAATACAGAGCTAAACTAAACTACCTCACAAGAGTATCATCAACATCATTATGTCATATGTAACACCCCCCTTATATCACAACATACTACCACCTCACACCGGGAAAACGGCTGACACATCAACCCATTTTCACTACCGACTCCAGCTTATCTCCCACACGATCATCTGCAGCAACCTGTCGAAGCAGGTTTTGCACATCGTCGACCCAGTTCTGCTTACTCGTGCCGTCCTGACACTCGAATTCCACGATCCCTTGCGCCGTGCTCAGGCCGAAGCAGCATTTCTCATCCATGAAGGCCTTCCCCGGCTCGATCACCCACGTCGGAAGCTCACTGTATACGCCGTAAACCACGCCTGCAGACGATAATTACAGGCGGAACGCTCAGTGTTAAAATCTCACAAACTACGCTGACAGAGGCAGAAATGGTAGCATATGATGTTTGTTTCGGCTGCTGCTGAACTTACTCTTGTTGTTTTTGGACAGTGCACCTCCAATGTGCTTGCTTTTCAGCTTCAGCATGACCTGTTACCATTGGCTATGCCGTCAGTAATTGAACACACATTTTATTTTATTTTTGGTAGGACAAATGGACAATAATTTGATATTGTGCAGTCAGAGTTTTTTTTTCTACCTGGGACTTCCTGTTGATGTAGACAGATACTTTTGTCCTGTGTAAATCCCCTGCATCAGGAAAAATAAAATAAAGATGTTGATCCATGACTGAATGTTCTGAATATTTCACGGCTGTGTAGTCTGTACCTTTTCTTGTGCGTTTCAGCAGCTCACCCTCCTTGCACCAGACATCAGGGCTCCACGAATGGCCCTTCTCGTAAGGAAGAACGCTCGCGTTGCTCCTCGCCGCCTCCCGCTGCACCCTCTGCTTCATCGTCGCAGCTCCTCGCAGCGCTGACACGAATTCCACACGAACTCAGCTTTGATTCTTGCACGAGATAACATACGGAAACGGGAGTGCACATTGTGATGGCAATGGCGGCACGGCCGTTCGCCGCGTCGAACCCTTACCGGTTGCCGCTGCGGCTGTGAGCGTCGTCAGATCGCCGGCGCTCCTTACGCCGACCGCGGACTGGACGGCGGAGGCCACCTGCTCATGTGTCGCCCCGGCAAGCCTTGCCGCCTCCACGCAGTGCGAGGCCAGCAGCTCCGTGGCCGGCGCCATGGCCGCGGCCATCTTGGAGGCCTGGGTGTCGGAGCTGGTGGACGCCGCCGCGACGGCGGCCACCGCGGCCGCGACGCGGACCACTGACACCATGGCGTGCACGTGGGCCCTGTCGGCGCGCAGCTTCTCCTTGCTGCTCTGCCTCGATCGGCTCGCGTCCTTGTGCTGGAACCATTTGCCGATGGACTGATGGTGGCCGGTGGCGCTGATGGAGCTCCTCCTTGCATCTGCCTGCTCGAAAATGGCCAGACAACATATGGAAACATTCAGAAACGAGAGAGCAGAGAAAGGATGGGAGTGAGTGGGTAGTGGACTGCTCGCTTACGTGGTGTCGATAGCTCGGGACGATGGCCGTGGCGGCGAGCACGGCGGAGGCCTCCGGTATGCCCATCTCCTGCAGCGGCAGCCTGTTGAAGGAGCTCTTCTTGCCTCCGACGAGGATCTTGGATATCTCCGACGCGGACACGCTCCAGGACCTCGAGAGGTACTCCATGGGCTCGAGCGGCGTCTGCGGCGGCGGTATCGCCGCCGCCGCCGCATCCTCCTCCTCGACCACATCAAACCGAAACGCGCTGCCGGCCTTCCAGCCCATCTCCATGGCCATCAGTCCCACACAATCACTCTCCGCACTCGGCACCAGTGCACTATCCCCCTTGGCTCTTCTCAGTGGTTGGTTGCAGGCAGCAGGAGGCGACGGTCGCCTACTTATAGCAGAGGAGGCACGCACGGAGCACGAGGAGGAGGGCGTGGAGCCGCCATGGCCGTGGCAGAAAGAACAAGGGGGACACGAGGCTGGCTGGCGAACAGGCCCCTGGCTTTCTCTGCTACTCCTGTCTGTCTCTAACAAGTCTCCCTCCACTACCTGGGACTGAATATTTCTACTACCACTGCTGCAATATACTAGTGCCGCCGTCGCTGTTCTCTAGCCATTTGTTCCCGGCAGCTGAGCTATCCGGGACCTCGGAGGGTCTCACGACATGACTTCAGAGGAACCAAGCCAACCATGGATTGCTACGGCGGCATTGGCTTCTGGACGTACCTACGGTTGTTGGCAACGTTTAGTCAATTGCACGAAGACTTGTTTGAACTTGCAGCAACGTTCTGCGAGGCGATGCGATGCTTCCAAGAGGAACCCCCTGTTTTCCCGGCGTATCAGCTACCGACGATGCCGGCGTTCCCGCTAATTAACACGAAGGGATAGATGTATGCGACGGCTGCGCTTGGAGGAGCTTGACGACAGGAGACCCGTCACCCGGTAAGCTGGACGCCGGTCGGTCTGCTTCATCGGTCTTGGGCTCTTGGCTGCGTGCGCCGTATCCATCCAGTGCATCAACCTTGTTTGAATTCTACTCATGCTTGTGCGTCTCTGGCTCTCTGTTTCTGCTTCTTTTTCAATTTTCAGGTGCGGTGGGGCTTGATGCCTGGCCTATGTCTCCGTTTCCACGTACATCTGTAGGGTACGTGAGGGCGATCGATGGATCTCCTTTGCTTCGATCTTCAAACTCGGTGGAACGGTCAAGCCGCTTGATCGACCGCCAAGGCGCCAAGGCAGGAGCAGCAGCATTAGTTTTTTCGAGCAGTATAAAGCTCCCCAGGTGCTGGTGGGAGTGGGCAGTGCAGAAATGAAAACAATACTCGTACGCACCATACGTGCTGTGCTGCTACGTGTCGTGCCGTGAGGTGGTCGCCCCTGCCGCCGTCGCAGGAGATGCCAGATGTTTGTCCCGTCCCTGAGCTGCTGAGCGTGCGCGCGCGAGGTGACGAGTGGCGCGCCCAATGATCAGGGCCACCGCCACCCCCACCGGAGTGGAATCTCGTCCCACGCGCGCCTGCGTTATCGCCATCATCGGTCGATGGCCATGCCCTCTTCTACCCTCCACTAACAACGTGCCCAAAGCCCGGCCGGCCCCATGATTGGGCAGCACTTGCCTGCTGACCCAAATCATCGTGTTGCCTGCTTGATTAACAAGAGTCTGAGACTGAGACTGAGCAGGGAACCGGTCGCCGTAACCTGTTCGCAACGGCATCGACGTTTGGGTTTGTTTGGTCAGTTTAGGGAACACCCATGATGCAACTTTTCCCGCCAAAACAAGTGTGCTGCCACATGCGTGAGAGGTATGCTAGTGTTGTATGGTACTATTACTAGTTAGTAGCTGATGAGCGTCTCGTCCCTTTTTCGGCTTGCGTCCGGTGGAAGCGACGGATCGGTCATGTCCCAACAAAACACTGTGTACAGTAGTACAGTGTGTACGTATCAACTAGTAGGAGTTTCAAGGAACGGCACGCGTTTCCTCGTCATGCGAGTATGAGTGTATGATCAGCATCAGTCGCCCGGGATTTTTAACCGGCCAGGGGAGCTACTGCAGGCAGGCGACGAAAATGATGGTGTTTGCCTCGCGCCTGTTTCATGAGTGAGCGAGGCAAACAAGGCCTTCATGATGGATACAGATAGATACAGGAGGGTGGGACGGCCAGAATCGCTCGCTGGCTGCCTCTTTTCACTCGGCCGCACTTTTGCCATCACCAAAGGAGCAGATAGATGAAGAGCACCGGCGCCTGCGACGGGAGAGGCGCGTCTCCTCAGCCGTTGCGCACGCCGGGAATCCGTCGCGGGCGCTGCACCAGCCCACACCAAACCCAGGCTTCCATTTCGGCTGTAGAAAACCATATCATCACCATCTTAACAACAGAAATGGTACTCCTACTAGTAGAAAACAAGGCACCAAAATGTCAAGTGTGGTTGACATCTTCACACGGAGAAGAGCTACCCTGGTAAAGCCGTGAAAAGTCTGCGAAATTTCTTGCAACAGACATTGGACATCCGCAAAAGTCACAGCGCATTTCAACCAAGCCAACACTCTTCTTCAGCAGCAGGCGTAGAAAGCAGAGCGGCAACAGACACACACCAGCAAAAAAAGAGAAAGGATCAGTCGAGGTAGAGCTTGACGTGGATGCCGTTGTCGATGAGCGACTGCACGACGGCCCTGATCTTGCCCTCGAACCGGTCCCGCTCCCGGGGCGTGTAGGTGCACGCGTACACGTCCGCCTCCTTGGCCCGCTCCGCCAGGAACCGCCCCACCGACAGGCACGCCGGCACGTCCGACCGCGACGTCAGCGCCGCCTTCACGTCCTTGGAGTTGGTGCCCGCCACCGCCACCTGCCGGCACGTCGACCGGTGGGTCAGCGACGCCGACACGAACCGCTTCGAGATGAACACGTCCAGGGTGAAGGGCTCCATGTGCGCGATCGTCCGCTGCTTGAACGAGATGTGCTTGTGCGGGTTCTTGGACCGCTTCTCCTTCTTGTACGTGTAGGGCTTGCTGTTGTCCTCGTCCATGAAGTCCTCCACGCCAAAGAAGCTCCTCGCCGACCTCAACACCTGAATCAATGAATGAATCAAGAGGTCAGAGCGGCGACTCAGCTACTTCTATCTACTTCAGATTTTTAGTGAGTGGAGCTGAAAGCGAAACATAGATCAACAGACTGAAGCGTCCGTTGCACTGAGTTTGAATTTGAATTGAAGGTGGAACATAGATCAACAGACTGAAGTGTCTGAAGCAGGGTCAGAATTTGAATAGATTGTGGGTGAGGTTGCATCTCAGGTAAACAAACTTTTGAAGAGCTAAACGCTTGGTCTAAAAAGGTAAGCTAAATGAATTGTTCAACTAATTTCAGGGTTTATAAATGTACAAGACCTATACATGTTTGTAAACTGACTGCATAAGTCCAGCCAAAGAATCCAGAGGCAACTTCAAGACTTGAGCTCTTGAGGCAGCACCAAACTTTTATAAACAGTTGCATACCCAGGTGATTACAACAAGTTATACAAAGAAATTCCTTCAATGCACTGCCAAGTGTCTTTACAATGAGATGTAGATGAAAGTGACTGAATTGTCCAGTGTATTCAGTGTAACTAATTGATGAAATGAATTGTGGATGCCGCTGTAATCTAAAAAAAAGGTAATCCGTAAACAGAATCAGGTAGAGTTGCAATAGATTGTTAAACTTAAAGCCATTATTTAGCCAGTATATACATCAGACGACATGCATACGGTAGTAAGAATGACTGGAAATGCTTTACTAGACCTGTTTGACATAACTTTGAGCCAAGGTTCGAAATTTTGAACGAATCTTTGGTGGGATGTGTCTCAAGTAAGTGAATTTCTCAGCTCATTAATTAATATCTAAATTGTGCTGGAAATATAAATGATTGTAGAAGGACAACAAATGTTTGGCTCATGCAGCCACAGGAAACTTGTAGCCTTCAGACAGTATCACATACTGTATGCAGGTATGCAGTCACTGCAAGTAGTCTAGATTTCAGACAGGATTACACTAGTTTATTCATAAGCATTACCAAGCTATCTTGTCATTACAAGCATTTCTAAGTTATCACAACAAAAATTCTAGTAGCTAATGCCAACTAATTTTCATCAACATATCCAAGTTGCTAAAATTCAAGCACTATAACAACATAGATGCTTCAAGGGTTGATTATCACCAGATAACAGGCAGAGAATAAAAATGTGTTTTATTACCTGCCCGCTGTGAAATTGACTTGAACAAGCATACATTGCTTCAGCTGGATGCCCTTCCCGTAGGACATGCGCTCCCCTCCTCCATGACTGACTCAAGATGTTCTTCAGCATCTTTATCTCAAGCACCCTCAATGCTCAACAAATACTAAGCATGGATTACTTGTAGCATAAGCTCCAGGTCACTGTGCAAGAAAGGAAGTTATTTTAGAGCTCAAAATTCTTCAGCTAATTTTCTTCACAGTGGCAGTCCCACACAACAAAGCCACACATTTGTAGTTCCTACAAGATGACGACTCATCAGACACCAGGGGCAGATCTTAAGTGGGGATACTAGTGATCTGAATCAGATTGGGACAAATTTGAAGCAATATTTGAGATAAACTGCAACAATTACTTGGGTGAGTACTACTCAGGATGTAATGTGGCAATGGGGCAATAGCCGCGTCGGCCGCATGGCAGTTATGTGGGTTTTGCGCCAGCCACTTAATATGCTTATCAGTTAAACGACGCCTGATGCCCGCAACGGCTCTCATCAGCCACTTGATGCTCATGCTCAGCTGTGATTCTCCTCGAAACAGCGTCAGCTTCATGCCTTCATGGTCACAGGCACACACACTAATTGACACTAGCCTACTAAACAGAATTTGTATAGTAATAACTAGTTTCTCTACAACAGAAATTTTCCAAAAAAAGGCATGACCATTACAATAATCACTTTCATTGTTAAAATAAGATATTAATGATATCTTCCATACACTGCATGCAAACCACAGTAGAAAATTAGAAGATCCATGACCCCAGATGAGCAAGCTAACTGAAATTACTCAATAACATCTGCAGTACTAGCAAGGTTTTCAGCACTGCAGGAGCTGGTTATTACACTAAATGACCATTAGAGTACAATTTTCATGATATTCTCATCACTTGCGAAGAAGGCGGGCGCGGGGAGAACACATTAGTGGATAATGTAATCAGTAGTGGAGACAAAAGAATTCAGAGGGTGGAGGGCGGGGGAATCTTTGCTTACCTAGGGGCTAGGGGAAGAAGAGGAGAAGGAGCACGGAGAGGATTGAGAGGGCAGGGGGAAGCGGTGCAGGTGGAGACGGCTGCGGCGGTGCCTAGGGCATGTGAGCATCAAGTGTTTTGGTGCGTTGGTGGGCTGTCCATTTGCGGCACATATTTTTACTGGATGTCCATTTGCACCATTTTAGGCTCTTTTTGATGGGTGCCACTTGTGGGACAAGTGGGATCCAACGCCACTTATATACTGAAGTACTAGTTCTAAGAAAAAACATCCTGAAGTACTAGTGCCATGAATTGACAAAAGAAAGCAGCCTAGTCCTCATCAAATATTTTGGATATCGGTAACTGGTAGCTGCTCAATCGGTTGGGGAATAGGGATTAATCGGGGAATTTGCTGATTAACTGAATTAATCAGTCGACCATTAATCGGCTGGTTAACTGTGGCCATCAATGCATATAGCTATATTTTACACAACATATCAGTTCATGAGCAGAGGCCTGAAACAGAGGAGTGGCTCGTTCTCGTACCTTGCCTTGTGCCCGCGGAGGGAGCAGCAGTGTGCGCGTGTAGGCTAATCGATTTGGACGGGTAGCGGCATGGAGGGGGGCCGGGCTCGAAACTTTGCCCTCTGATATACCCCAGTGCAGTAGTTAATCGGTGGAAGGGGTCCGGGAGGCGAGTACGACAGAGAGAGCTCGATGACCAGAAACTAACGGTGAGACCAATCGTCTGCCCTGCTGTAGAAAAAACAAAGATGGGAAAAACCGATGGGCAAGTACCTATCAGATGCCGTTGATGGGGGTGTGGTTACAACACACGGCACTGTGCGGCTTCGTCCCTGCAGAACGGTCAGCGGCGACTGCGAGGGGCGGCGGCGGCGGCAGTGGCGGAGCTTTAACTGCGCTCTGAAACACACCAAGCCAGTTCTTTCCGGCTCATGATTCTCCAGAATATGATTCTGGGAAACTGCCCACAGGATCAGCCGCCAGTTCTACTCTGAGATCGTTGTATGTATTGTGTGGTGAAATGTCTATAGTGCCCCTAGGGTGGAACTATGTACTGAATTGCTAATGCTTTTGTTTTGCAAAGTTTCATGTCGAACACAAACACGAAAGTGATTTGCAAATATCCCAAATTGCTCTCGGTGCCTTCACTTTCTCCATCCATCGGCAACATCCATGTGCGAACATTTAAATCTACACGAAAATTCTTACTACTAAGCAGGCATTCAATCTACACCACCACAAAAGTCATACTACTAAGCAATCAATCATGCAATTTTTTTTCACTAGATGTCATCAATCATACAGCTTGTACGCCATACAAAATTGCCATCCAAGTATTTCACTAGCAGCCATCAAATTAGCATACAACTACGAACCATTAATCATCACCAGCCATCAAACATACAGTAAGAAAGAACAGAGAGACAGAGGGGAGAGAGGGAGGGGGGAGAGGAGGAGACACAGAGAGGGAGGCAGAGGCGAGCTCACCTGCGGCCGGCGAGGCAGGATGACGCGGGGGCCGGCGAGCCAGACGGGATGGGGCGGCGGAGTGGGCGGGGTGGGCGGCCGGCGGCGCGAACCCTGGCTCCCCGGGGGTCGGGCAGGTCGAGGTCGATGTCGAGAGAGAGAGAGAGGACCGTGCGTGTGTTGAGCGAGCTGGAGGCCCTAATCCCCTCTTGGCTAGTTGGGCCCTAAGAGCCGGGCGGCGCGGCCCATGAAGGAGTATGACGGCGCAGCGCTCTACTATAGCCCTTGAGGCACGCGCCGCCCCCGACAGACAAACCTGCATCCTGGCCGCCATCCCGGCGTGCCGTCCCTCTCCAGCCGGCGACCACGCCGCCCGCCTCCTCTGCTCCCCGGCCACCTCGCCGACGCGTATGATCCGGCCCTAGGCCGAGGTAAGTAAACGCACCGCCCCTCAATTCTCTACTACACTTGTCACCGCTCGCAACATTTCTGGGATGCGGATTCATCCGTGCGCATCCTTGAATTCGCCCCGCCCGGACGCATGATCGCCGCCGTATGCTACTACCGTTTTTCCCGGTGATCGTCGTGTTCCAAATCATTCCATAGGATTCCTTACGAATTTCCCCCACCAGGAGTCCAGGATCGATCGAACAACGAGTCAAACACCACCCGCCGTACATTGCCGCCAGCTGAACCTGGACAAGGAAGAGAGGACGATACGTTTACTGCTCGCCACCGGCGAATGAACGCGAGGATCATCGGTGAATGAACGCGACAACCCAAGCCCTGCCCGCCATGTAATCCAACACCCCAAGAATCAATCAAAATCAATGCATGACCTCACTCCACTGTGACACTCGTACGCGCGTGCCCTCTGAATTAGTAAGCCCCAACCCTGACGACGCTGCCGGCGATCGGCCATTACTCCTCCTCCCCCTCCAACCACATGGCCGGGCCTTCTCCTCCCACTACCACTAGCTCGCTCTCCCTGGCTCTGGCCGCGTAGAGTAGAGTACATTGTACATGCGGTTGGTCTCGGTTTCAGATGGCTGGTGGATCATTACGCCGGGGTGTCGTAAGTCGTACACCCGGCTCGTCGTCGGGTTCCCTTGTCGACGGAAGCTAGCTTTTCCCACTGCGCTGCTAGCGCTAGACGCTGGTACAGGGGCCATTGAACGCCCGCATTCATGCCTGTCGCCTGCCTACCTCGTGACATGCTGCATGCATGCGATCGCCGGTAGGTAGCTCAGGTCAATGCCGTGGGGGAGGAGAGAACACGCATACCGGTAGGGGCACGTAGTACTAGGCCAGCAGCCGTAGCCATGAAGGTCGATCCGCTGCCGAGGTTCGTCTACAACTGTAGCACCGGCAACAGTTTCTCTGACGGGTCGTCATGCAACAGTTTCTCACGTAAGCACTCCTGTGCTGCGCCCTGTTGATCGTCGGAGACTTGGAGTAGTCGTGGCGGCGTTTCTCTGACTTGGAGCTGCAGCGTGCAGCTTCTTCTACAATTCTACTCTTTTTTCTTCCTTGGAGTAGAATATCACGAGCATGTTAGGAGCAGAGCCACTCGCTCGGAAAGTTTATACAGTAAAAACTTTGGAGCGGGTGGCCAGCGGTACGACTTACTGCGACTTCGGCAATCACGTAGGGCCGGCGAGAGACATCGCGGAGTCGGAGCCATGTCACGGCATGGCGAGTTCTTGCATGCTCGTGCCATTTACTCCGCCGCAGTGCGCGCGTCAGTGCATTAACGCGGCTCACCAACTCATTCGCTTCCGCGCAGTTACTCCTCCTCCCACTTCCCCCCGCCATCCGTCTCCGGTCTCCAACTCTCCCTGTCGCTCTCCGTCGCCGACCCGCTCTTCCTCTTCCTCTGCGACTTCGCTGCCGCGGCAGCAGCGGTTTACTGCCGCGTGCCACGCCGTATTAAACCGCCGGCGTCGCAGCGCGGCCCAGGGAGTGGGCACGGCCCTGTGCGCGGGATGCTCTTTGCTCCCCGCGCCACGAGATCAATCCGCCCGCCCGGACCCTGCTCATATAATGCTCATGCGGCACCCTTCTGGACTGTTGCCATGTAGCAGCTAGGTTGGTGGCGCTGGCATGGCGGCAGCCCAACAAGGGAACGTGGAGCAGGCCGTGAACGGAGCGCAAGGACCGGGCAAGGTCGGCGGCGAGGCTCCCGAGGCGGCGTCGGCGCCCAAGGCCGCGGCCGCCGCCACCGCTGCTGCGCCGCATCACCGGCGATCCAAGAGGTCTCTGCCGCGCCTTTGCCGGGTTTTTCTCCGCCTTGGTTTTGCTTGCCGCTCATCTCAAACCTGGTTCTCTTTTTCTGTCTGTGTCCATTGTCCAGTGCTTCTTCGGGCAGGAACCTGGAGACTTGCAAGCATGCCACCATGGAGCAACGCTTCAACCAAGCACAGGTGATGCTTTCATGAGCGGAGATTACTGATCAAGCAAGCACATGTGCAAATTACTGATCGGATTCTGTGAAAATTCCATGGCAGAACCCGCCGGACCCGAGGAAGTCTTCTTGCTCAACGGATGGTTCTTCGGTTCTCCGGGCACCGCCGAGGGATCAACGGACGAGCGCGGCCACGGCGTCGCCGAACCACCGCGTCTCGCTGGAGAATGACGTGAGTACAAAAAGAACAATTAGCCACTGTTCTCCTGACGCTATGGTGCACCATGGCTTCTTTTTTGCGTCTGAGTAATTGGTGTTGGCAATTGCTGGATCGTGGCAGGTCTCGCAGCTGCATCTGCATCTGCATCAGGAGAGGTCCATCCGGATCATGCTTGACCGGGCGATCGGCCGGGCTTCCAGCACCCTGTCTCCTGGTCATCGGCACTTTCCAGCTCAGGTACCGTTCATCTCCTACAGTTTCTACTGCACAATGACAACGACAAAATTCCTCCAAAAAACTGTTTACATTTCCATCCATGATTTTTATTTTACTTCCAATCGTCAGGCTAGTGTAATTTTAGTATTTTAGTGAATAGAAGCGGTGCAATTGCCGGGTGAAGATAGCACACAGGGGAAAGTGTCACCTCACACTCCATGCTGTTCCAAGCACAGTTTTCAGATATTCGCAGAAAAAAAGTGCAATTTCAGATGGCTGGCACAAAATGAGTACAATTTCAATTGTGCGCTGATGAGTGTGATTCTTGTTGCTATTCCTGCAGACAAAGGAACTGATAGCAGAGATTGAATTGCTCGAAGAGGAAATTGCGAACCGCGAGCAGCACGTCCTCTCACTCTACAGAAGTATATTTGATCAGTGCGTATCTGGGCCATCATCAGGGCAGAGTTCCGGTATTTCATCCCCGGCTCATGCCAAGAGCATAAGTTCAAGGACGAGACGACGACAATCGAGCATAATATCAAGTGCATTTTGCTCATCTAAGAAGCTGCCTCTCCAACCTTTCCATATCATGACATCAGTGTCGGAGTCGGGTAGGACGAAGAACATGCTCAAGACCAAGATCAAGCATGAATCTTTCTCGAGCGAAACGTTGGATGTCCGTCCTGCCTCCCTTGCATCAGATCCAAGGAAGGTAAAACATACAAAAGAAAATATAGTTTCTTTAAATACATACAAAAATTAAATGTACTGTATTCTACTCTATATTAAATTTTTGTATGTATTACTCCCTTTGCTAATATTTACAATCAGATGTATGCCCTTTTTATACTCGAATGCAAATTCTCTGCATTGTTGTACTTTCAGGAGCATGCATTTTGTCCCAATTTTGTACGTCTGAACCCGCTGAATTTAAATCAGGAGATGCTGTGATTAATGCAGTACTTTCAAGCAGAAAATGCACATATTGAACTTATTTTAACTGCTGTTTTTTCCTTTGTTTTGCCTTTTTTTTCTTTACAAATAGCTGCCTTATTCAGGGAGTAGTTCTTTGGCACGTACTCTGAAAGATCATCTCTACCAATGTCCAAGCAAGATATCTGAAGAAATGGTTAGATGCATGGCCTCCATATACTGTCTTTTGCGCACGGAGTCACCAGAAAAGCCTGAAAAGGTTCGCTCGCCGTTCTTGTCAAGATCATCAACAAGTGTCATTCTTCCTCGGAGGGGTAACGGCGAGGAGACTAATCCATCAAGTAACAAAAGCATTGTCGAAGTATGTTCAATCACAGTCGAAAAGAATCAGACGCCAGATGTCTCCTGTGCAATTACCCACTACAGGTTTGTTGGAAAAATGATGATAATCGTGCTTTACATCCTGGAGAGTAATTTATTTTCCAATAATTGTATAACAAAAATTCCGTGGCTTTGCTTTGAGCTTAGGTTGCTTGTGGAGCAGCTTGAAAGGGTTGATCTGAGTATGTCAGAAACCAGTATCAAACTGGCCTTTTGGATCAACGTGTACAATTCTCTTGTCATGCATGTAATTGCCGAAAACTCTACACTGGTTTCTCTGTTTTCTTGTTCTTTAATTTTTTGTGATTTTGCCAGTGTGTCATCCCACGTGTAATTGCTTTGCAGGCATATCTAGCATATGGAATTCCAAACAGCTCTCTGAAAAGAATGGCTCTATTTCACAAGGTGAAAAAGATATTTTAGTTACAGTTGTCCCTGTGCTGGAGTTATTAATGATGTGGCTAATAAATAACTCACATATTGCAGGCTGCCTACAATGTTGGTGGATATGCCGTGACAGCCAACTCCATTGAACACTCCTTGCTGTGCTGCAGATCCCCGCGGATTGGTCGTGTACGTATGATTTGTGATCTCATGCCAAATCCTGAATTTAAATTCAGATTGTTCATGTAAAGCTGACAGCTTCAAATAAAATTTAAGACCCTAAAATTCAGTTTGGTAAACTATTCATCAAATTCGCTGAAACAAACCAAAGAAGTATAACACCCTATAGTAATCAAATTAGCACGCTGAGGGCTGCTCTAACTGGTCTAAGTACGACATTCCATCTCATGCCTAAGTTTGAATATAAATTCAGATAATTCATGTAATGTAGACGGCTTCAGATAGAACATCAAAAATCAATTTTTAAATTCTACATTTAGGATCCTTTCTAGGAAGCAAACTGTTTATGCTTGAAGAACTCAGTACTTCTGAACCAAGGCCCTAAATTTAGTTCCGTAACTGTTCATGAATTGAGAAAAAAAACTAACCAAGAACACTGGATAACACTCTAGGAGTAGTCAAATTAGCACAGGGAGGGAAACCTGATTTCTGGAGAAGTGATGTCTGATCAAATTTTACCCGCAGTGGTTTGAATCAATACTGTCGACGGCGATGCGGAAGAGATGCGCGGACGAGAAGCAGCTGGTCCAGCTCAAGTTCGGCCTGCCGGACTGCCAGCCTCAGGCCCTGTTCGCGCTGTGCACCGGTGCCTCCTCCGACCCCACGGTACGTACGTACGCCCTGACGCCGCCATCATACTTAGACTGATCTCCTCGAGGCCTGGGCTGAGCTGAGCTCCGGCGTTGCGTTGCGCTGCAGCTCAAGGTGTACACGGCGAAGAACGTGACGGAGGAGCTGGAGCGGGCGAAGCGGGAGTTCCTGCAGGCCGGCGTGGTGGTGCGCAAGTCGAGGAAGGTGTTCCTGCCGCGCCTCGTGGAGCGGTACGCCAAGGAGGTCGGCCTCCCCGCCGGCGACGGCGTCCTCGCGTGGGCGCGCGACAACTTGGACGGCCGGGCCGCGCAGGAGGCCATCCAGCGGTGCGCCGCCGCAGCAGCAGGAGCCGGCGGCCGGCGCAGGGCGTCGCAGGCCTTCGAGTGGCTCCCGTACAACCCCAGGTTCCGCTACGCCTTCGCCAGGAGCATGGTCGACAAGCAAGCCGCCGCGGTGCTCGCCTAGGTTGTTCTCGCCTTCGTAGCTGCTGGCTGCTACTGGTATATGTATATACATATGGTTTTGGGATTGAGATGATGATGTGAAACTCAAACTAGCAATCAAAGCACGGATGAAGTTTACTGGGTCTCATCTGTAACTCAAACTGAAGATTTTGTGCTGCGTACGTTGCAGCGTTTTTGTTCTTTCTCCTCCTCTTTTTTCTGTTGGAAGAAAACGTGCCGTGCATCGCGCCCCACTACTGACCGCGTCATCCCACGATCGAGCTTGTGCAGGACTTTATTTGGCTGCGTGCCGTGGCAGGGTTGAACACGACCGAGGGCCTTTGTCAGGATGTTCGCCCTCCGCTCGCCTGTTTTGATGAAACACGGCCACCGTGCCCTTCTCAACGCAGTTGTGGATGAAGTGGCAGCGCTTGTTGGTGTGTTCGATGCGGTCATGGAGCACTAGGTTCTTGCAGAGCGAGACGGTGGATTTGTTTTTTAAACACGGGTACAGATGTAAGCGCTCATATAAACGTACATGCACTCACCCCTATGAATGCACACAAGCACACCACCTCTATGAGCACCTCCGAGAAACTGAGCCGGCATGTCATCTTGAGATTTTACGAAGTCATCGTAGGTGCCTCGTAGTCGACGGGAACGTCCCCTCCCACTGAATGCGCATCGTCGAAAATCCTGAAATAAATCCAGGATAAATGCGGACTTGTTGTCGATGAAGAGTGTCATTGGGGAGGTGTCTCGATTCAGTAGATCATTGAGAGATGAGCCAACCAGATACCCTAGCACGCTGCCATGGCCGCCGCAGTATACTACACCTCGCATCATCTAAGGTAATTTCCTCCCTAGGATATTTAGCTGCCCACTCATCATAAGAGGAGCCATTAACTTTACTTCATCATCAAATTCAACATCTTCATCACTTGAATCATAAAGTTTACCATGTCTAGTCCAATCATACTTAGCATTCAAAGAGTATTCAACCATAAAAGTATTGCCAACAAATTTTATTTTCTTAATGCCAGACTTCGTCAAAGTGTGCGGTAGTGGGGTGTATGGACAATCGGGAATTTGAATTCATATTCCTTTAGAAACCATTGAATACGCTTAATAAACTTAATTTCATGGCCAATGTCTTTCTAGGTTCCTGTTGTGCCATATGTAGTATCAATGCTCCTCATAATATGTCTCTGTTTTTTTATTTAGTTGAATATAAGCTATGACATGTATATAAGAAAGGTTAGTAAGATAGTAAGGTGAAACTTCAAGCGAAGGAGTAAAGAATGTACAAGTACAAGTACTCCCTCCAATCCTTTTTACTTTGCATATTAGGTTTGTCTGAAGTCAAACTCTTCAAAGTTTGACCAAGTATATACAAAAAAATATTAACATTCACGTAACAACACGAAAATCATTAGATCCATCTTGGAATATATTTTCATATTATATTTTATTAGGTATTATAGATGTTAATATTTTCTAATATAAATTTGGTCAAACTTAGCAAAGTTTGGCTTCGGACAAATCTAAAACACAGAGTAAAAAGGACCGGAGGGAGTAGTAACTAATGATAATACTATAAAAATATGGAGGTACAAGAGAAGAGAAGGGAATTTGGATAGAACTATGTAGTAAAGAACGTTGTATCAGTACAAGTAGTAACTAATGATAATACTACAAAAATGTGGAGGTACAAGAGAAGGGAATTTGGATAGAACTATGTAGTAAAGAACGTTGTATCAATACAAGTAGTAACTAATGATAATCTAACATATAAAGCCTCCTAGAGTACCCGCTGATCCAGCGCCATCCCTCGCGCGCAACGATCTGCCTCGTTCGTTTTACCTATGTGTAAAGTTTTTGGTCCTTTTCAACTGGCTGTCAAACATCCAACCGTTTGTTTTGCTTCACATCGTGTCTTTCCAGTTCGGTGAATGACGGCTGGGCAAGCCATCTAGGTGGGACCACGTTGCAGTGTGCTTTGCTGACTGAGTTTGGGTGAAAAAAGGGGTGGATCATGTGCTGTGCACGGTGAAAAGCCCGATCCCTCGTCCCTCCTCTCCTCGAGCCCCACGTTGCGCGGTGAAAACCCTAGCCCAATCTCTCGTCCCTCCTCTCCTCGCCCCGCGTCCCCTTCTTCGTGCTCGCCACCACCATCGTGCCGCCCCCTCCCCTTCGCATTTCTTCTCCTCCTGCGTAGGATCCATGGCTCAATGGTGGCTGCTGGCTCGAGGTAGGGGAGCGGCAGATGCGGGGTCGGTTGGATCGAGGCGGGGAGCGGCGGATGCGGCGTCAGCGGCGGCGGTGGCAGGAGAAGAGAGGCGGTAGCGGCGTCGACCTGCAAAGAGGCGAAAAGGAGCAGTAGCGGCGGCGTCGAGCTGCGAAGAGGCGCCGCTCAGGCGCGAGACCGTGGAGGCGAGAGTGGCTGCTTCGGGCCCTGATCTGGGAGGGTACGAGGCAGGGAAGGGCGACATCGCCGGCGTCACAGCGCCAGAGCCCGAGCCCCTGATGATGGGCAACGCCAAGGCCCCGCGACCGCGACAGGGAGCTCCTCATCCACCGTCTCCGGCGGCAGCGGCAGCGGCTCGGTCCCCGGCGCCGAGGACGACGACGACGGCTTGGACAGGTACGTCGCCTCCCCCTCCGCCTCCGCCGCACTCTGCTCCTCCAGCCGCGAGGTTCGCCCCTCTCGTCCCCCTCCATTCACGCCTCGTTCATTCCCCTACGGTTTACCCTTTCATCCACCTACAACGTCGGGTCTATAGCCTTGCTGTTGAAATTTGTCCATGGTTCCGTGTTGGTAATCCTGTGGCAGTTCACAGCTTATTGTCGGATTTCTTGATTGTGCAAAAAGTAGGTTCGAAATGACTATTTATTTTAATGCTGCAAGTTCATAGGAGTAGGGATGTTGACCCTTGGCGAGTGTTTGTTGTGCTGAGGCTTACTATTGGATTGAGTGGTCAAATTGGTGATGAGCTTGATCACTTTTTTGGTGCAATTTGAGGGTAATATTTATATATCCTTAGCAATGGATTTGAGAAGAAATTGCTTTATCTGACTCCCTTGGAGGAACATATTATGATCTTATAATGTTATAATCCCCAAACAGAAGGCAACCATACAGTGTATAAATGCTTTCTTGTGTTAGAACCCTGAGTGGTTGTTAATTTGCCTAGGGTGCTTGCCATGCTGACAGAAAATTCAAACCGGCGCTGAGATTTCTTGTCGCGAGGAAATCACGGGAGGACGAGATGAACCCGGACGAGGTCGCTGTAGTCATTGGCGCCTCCTCCGCCGCGGGAGGCCAAGGGTGAGAGGAAGGAGGTGTCGTCAGCTCCAGAAGGACCGGCAGCCCTCCTCGTCAACTGCATATGCCGAGGTCGCTGCTGGTGCCGCCGACTCCACACCAGCCTCCATCTCCCAACCAAGGCCAGCTCAACCCCTCAAGAAGAGCAGGGATGCTCTCTTTCTACATCCAGCATCCACACAACCAGATCGACAAGGTTGAGCTCCTCCATGAACAAATTTCTTACCTTGCTGGTTGTGTCATATGGCAGTCAGCATTTGCTTGATGAATGTTTCAGTTTTACTACCGCTGCACCTCCCCACCATGAGCTCAGCCTTCAGCCGTCACCGACACTGAGTGTGTATTCTTATTCCTTTCTCTAATTCATTCATATATTTCATGGGTAGGGTTTGGATGGCCTGATGAGAGCAGCCCAATAGTTGTACCTCTGCAACTTCGGCAATGTATACAGTCATCAGTACCATCTCTTTACATTTCATTTTTTTGAGTTGTTTGATTCATTTTATTTTCCAACTGAATCAACTCTCGAGGTGGACGCATAGCTCTCTATAAGAAGATCAATCATCGATGACTTACTGATTTACAAGGCATATAAAAATATATACTTTCTATGTGTTCTTTGGATCAACTAATGTGAGGTCATTTTCTCTTATTTCATTGTTCTTGCCGCTGCATATATGCCTTCATGCATCTGAAGCACTAAAAATTGCAGGAGAAAACATATTGGGGGGATAAGAGGCTATCAGTGTTTATTCCCCCTCCGCTCCCTCTCCTTCGACCATGGGCAGCAGCAGTCAGAGAACCAGGTATGGGTCCTCCTCCCCTTTCCTTTTTCCTTGCTTCTCACTTGTGCCTCAAACCCACCCCATTCTAATCTATCTACACTTTCTCTCCTAGGGGCAGCTGGTTTCAACGGGAAGCTACGTACTTATATGCCCCCACCAATTTCAACGGAGAAATATGACTAGTGAGAACTACTAATATCAGGTGGATCCAAGGTGCATCCACTCCCCCCCCCCAAGCAGCTAACTTTTGTTATGTACACTATAGCTATGGTTGTAGAACGCTCCCATTTCTTTTCTTACTATCAAATTTCCTTGATTCAGCTATTTGAATACATGTTATTATATGCCCAGGGTTAATTAGTACCTACAATGCTACCTTCAGTTTGTGTAAAAGGTCCAAAGTGGTTTCTGCAATTCTTATTATGCTTCCTGTTGTTCGATAGTTTCAATGGATTTTGGTGTTTCTTTAAAATTGATATTCCCTCGTTAATTCTTTGTTCTGTGGAGAGTATATTTCTTTTGTTGTGACTTGGTGTTATAAAGACTGTCCTTTTTTGTCTGATAAGCTATATGCTAATCCTTTGTGATTGTTGTGTTAGTGCACACATATTTATTCATATCAAAATTGTGTGTGTTTGTGTGGTTAATACTCACTTCATTTTGATATATTTGTCTTCTAATAACCCACCGTGCACAGGACATACCATGGAAGCATCAACTTATCAAGAAATGACTTATTAACCTATTAAAAGACCATACCTGAACCACCTATGACATAACCTCTTCAAAACATTTAAGTAGGGGTGGGCAATAGAAGCATTGTAGTAACTGCGCGCTTGCTGAACGGACAAACATTTTGACGATGACTCTTGCTTTCATGGATATACAGAGATAAATGGATGGATGTTGCAA